CCGTGCCGGGCCGTGCAGGGCCGGCCGGGGGAGCGGGGCGCTGCAGGGCGGAGCCGAGCCGAGCCGGGCCGGGCCAGCAGCCGAGGGGAAGCTCCATACAAGGCCCGGATCCGGCCCCGCCTCCGGATCCTTATTTGGCAGCCGGTTCCGGTTCCCTGCTTGCCTCTTTTTTTTTTTCCCCCCTCCTCCTTCCCCTCCCCTCCCTGGTTTTTGGCTCCTTGCATCCTCCGGGCCGCCGCACGCCCGGGGTGGGAGGCCTCCCCCCGGCAGCTCAGCCCCGCAGGCCCCGGGGGGGTGCTTGCTTGCCTCTTTTTTTTTTTCCCCCCTCCTCCTTCCCCTCCCCTCCCTGGTTTTTGGCTCCTTGCATCCTCCGGGCCGCCGCACGCCCGGGGTGGGAGGCCTCCCCCCGGCAGCTCAGCCCCGCAGGCCCCGGGGGGGTGCTCCGCCCCGAGCCCGAGGCACGTGCCGGTAGGGTGGCCTACCCCAGCCACGGTCTCTGCAAAGCACCGGAGGAGGGAGCTCCCCTGGGGGCAGATCCAGGGACCCTCGGAGCTGCCCGCACCCCCGGGAGCTCCTCCAGCCGCAAGGGCTGTAAGGGTCCAGCCCCTGCGCCTGGGGCGGGCAGGGAAGATGCCCGACACAGGCCCCTGTTTCTGCTCCGGGGTCATTGCTTCTCACCCATTCTTTTGAGGGGGGCTGGGATGCTCTGGGGCCTCTCCATCGGAGCCAGATCACCCTGAAGCCCTGGGGGAACGAACGGCTCTGCTCTCACGCAGGCAAGGCAGAGTGAACAGAGTGGGACGCCCTCCCAACCCCAGCACCTGTGCTGCTTCCCTGCCACATGCATCACTGTAGTCTAAAGTTACTCCAGACTCGATGGTGGAGGGGCTGGGCGTTTGCTTCAGGTTCCTGGCAGGCCCAGGTGAGACTTTTGTTCCTAATTACCATGCAGGAGCAAGCAGGCACTGGCCCAGCTGTCCTCGCCCTGTGAGATGGTGAAAGGCAGGTTCCAGGCAGCCCTGCCCCAGCCCTGGCTTGGTTCCACATGGTACCAACCAAGGTGGATCTCTGCCTGGGGAGATGATGATTGTCCAATGGGAGGAGAGGCAGCAGTGGAGCTCCCACCTGGAGGTCTTTCACGTTGCTAAGTACACCCTTCACCTCGGAGCTCTCTGCCACCAAGTTTACACAGAGAGGGGAAAAATATTCCTCGCTGATAATCCAAGCACAAAGAAGTCCGGTGCAATATCTGAAGCCCCTGCCTCCCACAGCAGGGTTTATGCCCAGGTCCAAGCCAAATGAGTCACAAGGGCCAGTTTACACAAGAATATTGTACTTGTTTAGCCTAAATTAAACTGATTTAGTGACAGTGGGATAAGCCCCAACATGGACACTTTTACTTGGGTTTAGGAGTGCTTTACTGCGATTTAACTTGTCTAGATAAACCAATATAAGTTCAACTGGTGCAAGCTGCCAACATGAACAAGGTCCATGTTTAAACCCCCAGTTAACAAGCTTCTGACCTGTGTTTAAGGAGGCAAGGGTCTGTCTAGCTATCAGCTGTTCCTCTTCTCCAAGGCAGCTCTGCATTGTAGGACTGGCCAGGCCCTGAGCCCTGGGACAAAGCAGTCTGACAGGAATAAAGGGAAAAAGAAATCAGCTTCACATCCATCCACTGAAACTCCTTTGCATTTACTGGCAAGCACATAGGAAGACAGAGATTTGTGTTTTGATTTTCAGAGGTAACCTCAGCATGCACACAAATCAGCTAAGAACAAATATATCAATAAATTCTGATCACTTCTGGTTCCTTAAGGCAGGAATTGTTGTGTGTGTGTTTTGGTTTTTTGGGGGTTTTTTTTTTAAAAATGTGTTTGTATAAAGTCTGTATGGCAAGAAAGGGCCTCTCCACCTAATGGCAATTTCTGGGCAGTACTTGGTTCTGGAATGCAAATCAATCAAATTAATAACAATCATGATAATGATGGTGATGATGTAACAACTTTGATCCAGGTACCTGAAATGCTACAAAAAAGGGGGGGGGAAGCACATTTTCTTCTGTTTTCAAGAACTCTCCATATTAATAAAGCATGGAAAGTGAAACTGGTGTAGCCTCAAACTTAGCATCTAACTTTGGCCGCCTTGTCAACCTCAAAAACATCCTAAATGTAGCACTGGTGTCAGGGAGTTTTGCTGCCTTGAGCAAACTGGAAAAAATACTTCCCCCCCCCCCAGCCCCTCATTCTCTTACACAGTCACTCAGCATTGTGCTGTCTTCAGAGACTCATCTGCTGATTTGGAAGCAGCGTGATTAAATAGTTAAACAGGGTTTAAGAAAGAACACAGTACCCCTGGGCTCTGTTCCTGGCTCTAAAACTGACAGGCCGCGTGATCCTGGGCAAGGCACTTTACCTTTCTGCAGCTTGAGCCGCCTTAGCTGCTGAATTCAGGTTGTGAAAGTCAGGGTCACTAGTGATGCATTTTTCAGACACCTTCTGACCTTTGGTGTATTTGTCCTTGTGTGGCAAAGTGGGGTTCCCGCCTGGCCACAGTGCTAGGTTCCCCACTTGCCTTTGGGCATGCCTCCCACCTGACTCACCTGCCATGCCTTGTTCTTAATTAATTGTTAATTAAGACAGGAGGCTACCCATTTTATGCCCTGATGCCAGAGGGCGCTATCTGCAGCTGTGAACCTCCAGCCCATGCCTCACAGATGGCATCCAGATGTTTACAGTGCTCCCGGCCTACAGCCAGACCAAGCTTAGGCCATGCCATCAGGCCTCAGTCACACACATTCATACCACCCTCTTCTCACTAGGGCCTCTCTCACTCCACCCTCTCACAGGGTCTCTTTCATACATCAACGACTCATCCTGCCTTACTCCATCTTGGAGCGGGTCCCTTACGCCATAGGCTTAGCTAGTCCATCCCTTGGGTGGCAGACATACCATTTTTCAGCCTCTCCCATGACCCTCACCGGGGTAGTGGCCAGCCAATTACCCAACTGGGTCTAAGCTTGCTCTAGCCCTTTTCAGGGGCAACTCTATATATGTATACATCCTGGGCTCTCAGCCCTCTGGTTTTCCTTCCCCCCCAACTTGGGCTCTTTATCTCCACCCCTTCCTGGGGCCACCCCTCACCTGGGGCTACTCATCCCTGCCCCCCTCATCTGGGGCTACCCCCTCACTGGGGTCACTTCCACCCCCTTCACTGGGGCTCTACACCACCCCCTCACCTGGGGCCACCGGGCTTTGCTCCCCAGTGGGCTCACGTGGCCATAGCCATGCCTGGCCCCACTCTCCCTCCTCGGGGTTTTGTACCCCGCAGGGCTCAGGTGGCCTCGGCCATGCCTGACCCCCAACTGCCTCCAGTGTTACTTAACCCACCAAAAGGTGAGGCTTAGGGTTAAGGCACCCCTACCCACCCTTCACCAGGGTGATAACTGGCCTGGCATTCCCTGGGGGCTCCCGCACCACGGAGAGCCCCACCAGGCCACCCACTCCCAGCAGGGTGCAGTTTTAGGTCATGCCCAGGACCAGGCCCCTCCTAGCCATCCCCTACAGCTCCTCCCTTACCTCCAGGACGTCATGAAGCTTTGTAGCCACACGATCTGTCTATATGAGCGGCCAGAGATCTAAAATGGCCACCACAATCAAGCACCTGCTGGCTGCTTGGCTCCGGTCTTAAAGTGGCAGGCACCAGCAATCCCCACGAGAGACAGGGAAGTGCTGCTATCTCCCATTTCACAGATGGAGAACTGAGGCACAGAGAGAGATGCTAAGGAGGTCTAGAGAAGAGAAAGGAATGATATCGAGGCCTTTCCCATCCCACCGGACCATCTGTTTTGCAGCGTTCCAGACGGCTGCCTGCGCCTCTGACAAAAAGGGGCTAGACTGCCAATACCAAATTCCCCATATGTGGGGAGAGCTGCCGTTGCCCCAAACTGTGAATATTAATGACCCCTTCATGCCGGTCCCTCTGTACCATGTAGGCTTTGGCTGTCAGCTGACATGTGACTTCTCTCAGTCTTGTGACTACAGGCCCTGCTGCTGCCCAGCAAATTTAGCAGAAGTTCATCTGTTCAGGAAGGTGTGAAAGTGATTCATGTGCTGCTTGCTCTGCTGAAACTCCCACAGGTGCAGAGAGGGGCAGCACCTCTGGGGAGAGGGAGAGGGAACTCGCTGGAGGGTGGTCTCAGGGGACATGGGGGGTTTTAAAAGGGGAACTATTTCATTTTGCATCTAAGCACCAACAACTTAAAGTACATACAAAGAAAAAAGCTTGACCTGGACCTTCTGTACAGGGAATTGTGTCCCTGGTATGAGCATACACAGGCCCAGATCCTCAAAAGCATTTACGCACCAAACTTCACTGAAATGATCCAGGACCTAAATCTGGGCTATGGAGGAAAACCCCATGACCATCTTCCCAGCTAGAAGGAGGTGGCCTCAGCCAGCCACATATGTAGAGGTGGGAAAAGAAGAATCTCTTCATGTCTCTCCATGTATTTTCATGTCTTATGGAACCTGACTTCCAGATTCCCAAGATGACTGAGTTTCTGGGATGCTCTCGCATGTGGTTGCGCTGCCATAAGGCCCTTAAGGACACCTGGCTTCGGACAGCTGTACTGATAGGTGGTCAGTACCTTCGGCTCTTTCTTTTTAGTAGAATACTCAGATGCCAGGTGTGGTCTCCATATTAACCAGATGCTAAGACATTTGGCCCTATACCCCTCACTGATTCTGAGTGGGCAGCTAAAACAGCTGGCCAGAGGGTTATAAGTATAGAAGGCTCCATGAGTAGGTTAGTTTAGATGAAATCTTTCCCTCAAGTGGCTTATAGACAGAAGCGAACCTGAGCTGTTCAGTCATCAGGCACCACCACCAAGGGGTGGCAATAGGGGTCCCAGCAAGGCTGCATGCATTATTCTGGCCCCCCTGTCTGCTTTGTTGGTAAGCATTGGGCCCACTTCGATGGGGCCTAGATGGAGCTCAGAGGAGAGAGTGAAGTCCAGCCACTTTCTTTTGGGATGGGCTGCCTGAGCTTGTGTAGTAAACTCTGTTTACGGCAGGGAGGGAGGCATATAGTCAGAGCCAACAGAACAAGGTTTATAATGACATGGTGGCTGAGGCTGCCAGCTCCTCCTGACAACGGCTGTCAATTTTTCTTTCTTGTGTTTCACTGTGCACCATGAGACTTTCAGGCAAGCCCATCCCATGGATCCAGTGACACCCATCCCTTCATTAAAACCCATCTCAGCTGGAAGCTCCTCCTGGGGCAGTCACACAGGCAGAACCTGCTGAGATCTGGGACAGCACCACCACTTTCCCCAAGCTCCTGCTGTGCAGCTGGGCAGGGGCCCTGGGTTGGGTCATTGCCTTCTTCCAATGTATCTTGGTCAGCAAGGACTGGGATGGTCAAATCGGTGTTCTCCATCGCTACATCACATTGCATGTTCCTGGGAGTCACTTCCTGACATCACCATGGGGAACAGGTCGGAGATACTAGCTCTGGGCTCAGTGAGTTTGTTAATGATTAAGGACCACGCACTCTGCCGCGTTGGGGCTGAAGAAACCCAGACAGGTCAATTTTCCTTTTGACAGCCTGAGCCGGAGGCAGCTGCAATCTGTAGGATGGACTATCTATTGGTCTCATGCTGCACAGCTGTAGCAGGGAGTTTTACAGGTAACCGTAGGTACAGGTTCACAAGACACCCATGTCCTAGGGTGAATGGTGACAAAATGTTTTATTGTCCCGCAGTGTAATGTCAAAGGAGTTATTTCAGAAATAATTTGCTCTGCTCCCCATGATGGGCCAAATTCTAGCATCAGGTTAAACACTTGTCTAGGAAGATAGGCACAAGGGGAACTGTGTTGGACAGTTATTATTGCACTGAATGCCACCAACAGTGTGCAGCTGCTACTCTATGAGTCTCTCCATGAATCGAGACCAGGAGGGGATGCTCTGGCTGCTGGAAGGACACTGTCTCCGCGGTCCACGTTTTTTCAACGTGGCCCTTCTGATTTGCCTATGGAAACTACATAGCACATACCCAGGACTACTTGCATGACTCACGCTTCTGTTAGCATCGGTGGTGTGGGAGTAGCACAGATATCCCCCACGCAAGCCAGGAGACTAATGCAAACAAACATTGCTTGTATGCTGTTGTGCCAGTTTGGGGGTAATTATAAAGGCAGCCAGAAGGTGACCTGGCATCTCTGAATCCTCCAAGGGGAGCATTGCCACAGCTCCCCTCACAGTGCTTCTGCCTTCTGGGCTAGTTTCACAAAGGGAAGTGGAAGTGCTACTCCGATTCAGAGACAAGTGGGAGGTTAACTGGGGTCGCAGAGGAATCAGTGGTACTGGTGGGGAGGATATGAGAGTGGGACTGCAAAGGGAAGGTCTTGATGCTCTGTGCCACGAGTGCTCCCCAAAAGGCTGGGCACATATGTAACAAATACGGCCACACTGGCAGCCCAGGGTCCTCTGTGCTCCAGGCCCTTTGCTTGACTGATGCCACTTTGCCATGCTTTGTTTCTCTTTTGATGCTGGATGGCTGGCACTTCTGGACACACTGGTTGTGCTGGGTGTTTCTAGCCTAAGAGCAGCTCCTTGGCTTTGGGCATCCTGCTCCTTTGCATTGTGAGACTGGCAGCAAACAAGATGAGCTCCATCACACTGCAGGAGGATTTTCCTTTTCTCTAATCCCTCTCTCCATGCTGCAGGGAGGGCTGCTGCTGTGTCACTGGGGAGAATCCATGCAGCTCCTGGGGGGTTCACATCCTCTCTGGGCTGCCATTATTATGACTGCATAGCGGAGTGCCCAGCCCTGATGCTGCAGGATCAGTGACACCTCACTCTGCGTAACAAAGCAGAAAGCCAGGCATGAGAGTGGGTGGGGGTAGCCAGCCATGCCCCGTGCCCCTAACAGGGGTTGAGGGACAGCCCATCCTTCCATAGGTTGACTTTTCTGTCTCTGTTCCTGACTGAGCCTGGGCATTTCTCCTCAGAAGAGAATCGGCTGTGGCCCTTGTTAAGCAGGATCTCATCCAGGACTGAAGCTGGTCCAGGGGGTAGGGCACATGCCTAGCACTGGGGAGGCTCAGTTTCACGCTCTGCTCAGGCAAAGAAAGATGTCCTCTGTTACAAGCCAGCCCCTCAGGGCTTCACCTGTCATGGGGGAACAGTAGTGCTGAACCTCATGCAGTGGCTGCAATGATAAACACCTCAAAGACTGCAAGATGCTCCGATACTGCGGTCCTGGGGGCAGATATGCATCATGGTCTTAAGGGAAGGAGCAGCTCAATCTCAGAGGTCAGATCATCTTGCTGACCCTGTTCAGCACGGGCAAGGAAGGGGCAAAAAGGTCCCTGGAGCAGAGTAGACATCCAGCTGTGCCCGGGAGGCCCTGAGCTGCAGGTGGGGAGCCGGGCTGGAAATGCTGCTGAGTGTGAGCTGTGTGTGCAGTGGAGAGGGCCAGTCCCTGAAGGTGGCAGCACTAGCAGCTGGCTGTCGGCAGCACTTGCATGTGCAAAAGGCAGAGAGTACAGGAAGAAAGAAGCCACTCAGAAGGGGAGGAGTGTGCAGCATCAGACACATGAGCATGCTTCCCAAAAGGCATGGACACACACTTGCTCAGGCCCATTTCCTTTGCAGCTCCTCTGCAGGGACTTTACACGGTCCTCACTACCAAGGAGATGCACTGTCTGACAAGGGGACCCTGATGCTGCCCTTCCCAGACAGCTCTTCTGCACCTTGGGAAATGCTGGGAACCCAAGAAACACGCCTCATGGGTTTAAAATGGAGCAGGGTGCAGCTTGCCTTCCTGCTTGGTAGGGAGGTGCCATTTGTGGAGATTGGAGATCCCTGCATGCATGGCAGCAGGGTGGGGCTGAATGGAGACATGAACCATCTGACTCTTATGCTTTGCTTGGCCTCCCCATCCAGCACTAGAAGTCTGGGAGATCGCGCCAGCAAAACAATATTCTCCAGGCCCGGCTGAACTTTTGGCAGGAGCTTAAAGCTCATCTCTGCAGGAGACTGAACTTCCTTGGGGCCTGAGACTAGGGAACAAACTCCCACAGGAAGGAAAGAGCATCACTAACTGTCCCACTTTGTGTAGCAGCCTGGACCATATAGAGGCCCAGAATGCAGGTATGGAAAGCAACGGGACAGGCAGAAAGGCAAATGCCCACTCAGCAGATGATGGTGCAAGGGGTGTCCGCGGGATGTACTACCCCAGGAAGAATAAAGCAGTAAGACATGCACTGACTAAGGATGGGGAGATCAGTGAAGAAGAAAAGGTCTGCTGTAGGATGTCTGCAAAGCCAAAGATTTTCCATGTGGATGCACCACAGAAACAAGCAGCCAGGCACTCTACTGCCTATCACAGCATCACTCTGCTACTCGATCAATGCCCAGTTGGAGTCCAGCAGTATTTTGCAAAGTAATCCTAGCAATCCTGATGAGCATGTTCATGGTATATTGCTACTGCCATTTCTGGTAGGTGGATTCTGTTCAGACAAGAACTCACGATGAAGAAACTGCAGGTGTATTTTGCCAGGGATGGCATTCATGGCATGGTATGCTCATATGAGGGGCCACAGTACGC